AAAAATCTCACAGAGGGCGCCAGAGGTCTGCACTCGATGGCCGAATTGAAGCACTTACCAATTTTTCCTTTTCAGGACTCTGCAAGGCGTCAGTCAAGGAGGCAGACATCACGAAGCTCTCCAATGTGGAGATCTTCTCCGAGCCGGACACCGAGGTCTTCAAGCTGATCAGCCTGGCGCCAGCCAAGCGGCAGGACTGGCACTCGCAGACGCTCTCCTTCAAGCTCCATCTTGATGATCTGATCGGTGGGGAGACTGGTTCTTCCCCTTCACTGGCCAACCAAACTACGGCTGACTCGCTGACTCCCGAGTTCAACTGCACCGTCGTCTACCTGGCGCAGTGCATGGCGATGAACAAGTGCAAGCAGAACTGCAACTCAATGGGCGCCAGCGCCTTTCGGTGGTTCCACAACGCCTGCTGCGAGTGCATTGGCGAGTGCGATGCGGCGCCCTTCGGCGACGAGGAGGCCAAATGCGAGTTCTGCATGGACGGCCAAACGGCTAAGGGCGAAGAGCAGGTGGAAGAGCAGGCGGAGAAGGAGCCACAGCAAGAAGGAGAAGGGGAAGGAGGCGTTCAAGGAGACGAGGCGTCTAACACTGGCGAAGAAGAAGAACCGGAAGAAGTTGATGGCGAGGATCCGGATGATGCGGCTTTGTAGAGCTCACTTTTCTGGCGTCACTTTTTTCAAATCTCAAAATCAGAGAATCAAACAATAAATCGGCGGTCGCCAGCCACCTTTGGGGAGGCATTCACAGACGCTGTGTTCTTCAGTTGCGCGCGCAGTGCGAGGGGGCACTGCTGCCTCAACAATCAGGGCGACACGTGCGCCGCGCACTGTTGTTTGCGGTGGGAATTTCTCAAACTGCAGCAGCAGCAGCAGTATAAACAGACCAACAGCTGGTCATCGTTGCGTCAGGTTTGGGAGTTTTGGAGTTTGTAAAGGTGAAGCCAAGTCGAACAAGCCATCAACAAAAACATGGCCACTACGATGCTATCAATGCTCTCTATTGGTGCACGATCTCGGATGATGGTGCGAACATCCGCCGACCTGAAGCTTCTGCTAGCCGGGCGTCGCGTGCAGGCGGCGCACCCTTCATCATTTCACCGATCACTTTTGTCGTCCGGCTTCAAGGAAGGTGCCACCACTACCACAACTCGAAAGCTACTCTCATCATCATGCAAGGTTCCTAGCAGCTCCTCAGCAACGCTGCAGCTCATGAGGCCGACTGTTGGTCGAAGTTTCTTTGGCTTTCTGCAGCCCACTCTTGTCCGCCAAAATGTGATCTTCCGCACGATGACTCAAAATACTGGTGGAGGTGGCGGTGGTGGCATCGGCAACGAGTGGGCCGAGCTGAGCAAGATGTCCATCGGCCAGCGACTGAAGGTGATGATCAGGAAGTACTGGTACATTGCCCTGCCGCTGCACTTTGTCGGCTCCTGCGCCTGGTTCGGCGGCTTCTACCTTCTCTGTCGATTGTGAGTGTTCTTTTTGTTCATCTAACCAAACCGACTAATCTCTCTTTTTCTCAGTGGCTTTGACGGCGCCAAGCTGATCGCCTGGATTCAGCCCTACGTCATGCAGAGCACCCTGGTGCCCGACGTCGTGAAGGAGATCTTCAAGAAGGACCCGGCCAGCCTGGGCGCCCTCGCCGTCACCGCCCTGCTCTACAAGCTGGTGACGCCGCTGCGCTACATGACCACCATCTTCGGCACCTTCTACACGGTCAAGTACCTGCTGCGCAGCGGGAAGATGGTAAAGTCGGCGACGGAGATTTCGAAGCAGTCGGCGAAGACGGCTACTAACTTTTTGAATCACTCCATTCAGAAGAACTTGCAAAAGCGAAAGCTGGCGGCGGCCGCCAAAAAGAGCGCAGGAAGCTTTCCTAAGCCAAAGCCACCTCCTTCTTCTTCACCACCACCCTCTTCATCTTCCTAAGAGTTGGGATAGTCGGATCAGTTTCCTCTCCGTCCTCTCTTTACCGGATTGCCAAAGCGTCTTCGTTTTTCTTGGTCGCTCCCTTCCCCAAAACTCTCTAGCAAAAACGATCTCAAAGACCTCCTTTTTGGCACCGGTTTGTATAGTTGAAATGTTTCCTTTTATTTGTACACTACTCTTTGACAGTTTACCCCCTTCTCCTCCCTTCTTTGCAATGTGATGGCCACTGTGCAGCCCCTCCCACCTCACGCCTACAGCCAGTTGGTTATTTTGCCTCAATGCCTCAACGCATGTTCTGCAATATTAATAAAACTTTGTATTTTGTTTTTCAGGTGCAAAGTAACAACAGATGCAGTATACATTTTTATGTTTCTCTAAAAGTTGTCATCACTCTTTGACTCAAAGCTAAACTTGCCCGTCAGCCTGGCAGCGGCGGGCATTGTCGGGCCATTATTGGGGTTGGGGTTGTGATTGTTGGGAACTTTTGAGCGACCATTTGGGGCAAAGTCATCAGAGAGGTTGAGATTCTCCGAGCCATCTTCCTCCTCATCTGAATCGTCCTCAATTGCATCTAAGTCAATCTCCGAATCGGTCATCTTGGCGATGGAGCCCTTGGAGAGTGCCTCGCTCTCCTCGTCACCATCTTCACCGTCCTCAGGAAGCTCATCTTCACCGTCGTCATCATCATCGGCGAGCAGCGAACCGTAGGAGTAGATGCGAGCCGTCTTGGAGCTTCGAGGCTCGCGGC